TCAAAATACTTAAATGGCTTTGGGAGAGATTTCTCTGAGACCTTAGTTTTAACCAAGATACCACAGTTGTAACACCCTACCCTATACGTTTTGCCTAATCATATTGTTCATACAATTGCAGCGGAATTAATCTCGGGTGTTACACTAATTATCAAAATTTATCCAAATAAAATTTCGACATGAATTACTCGCGTAATGGGCTAACAGTTCTTCCATCTGATCCTGCAAAATAATTCATCTAAATCCTTGCATTCATAGACAAACATAACACTCACTGCCATCTGCATTGGCTTTTCATAGCCATAGTCACAATTTCATGTTACACAAATGCATACTATACTGATACATGCCATAATCGTCACAACTTACATAATTACACAATCATCAACTTTCCATACCTGTGGATGTCTCACACTACATCAGAAGCTAGTATGCACATGAAAAACGTTCTCAAAACATTTTACAAAAAGGTGTGGATCACTGGCCAAAATCCCGAGTAGTAGTCCAAGCACAGAATAGTTGAAGACCATACCTCATCCTGCCTTCAACTCCTCGCTCTGCCCACCCCTAAGTACTTGCTACTGCTACTGCTGATGATCTGCTTACACATAGCATAAGCAGAGGAAAAGGATAAAAGAGGGTCAGCTCATAGCTGAGTGAGATAATCATAGCGTCGTGAGTTCATAACAGAGCATACCCCTACCATACATCTAGCAAACAAGCCAAAGCACTAGGATCAGACCTCAGCCATCCGACATCCCAATAGGAAAAAGACTCAACCACCTTGACTTATGCATATGCATCTTATCATGTTTTACTTATAGGCGCCTGGCTACTCCCATGCTAATTACTCTCCCGGGAATATGGACCAAACATCTCGTGGATGTGGTCATATCGGACCCACCACTGCCGGTGTAGTCATATCGGACCTGACACCACGATGGGTGTGGTCATATCGGACTCAACACCACTCTGGGTGTGGTCATATCTCATGATGAATCAACGGTCAACACCACATCAGGGGTGTGACATAACATATCATAACGGAGTAATAGCATGGGGAGCCCTAATTACTATGTAATTGACCATGAGACCAAATCACTCTTACTTGATGTCCTTATACATGATCCATATCTCATCTTGCTTAATCATAATTCGTTACTTACACATGTACTTGACCCGGCCACAATTGGCTCAACATAGTTAAATCAGGAGTCGTATAATTGCACTTCCTCGGGATAAACCCTCGTACAAGTCATCCTCCTTAAACATCATAATATCACCAGAGAATATATATTTTCCCACATGTGCCTCCAAATACAACAATCATGAACAATCATACCCTATCACCTTTTCGAACCATCATAAGGCATATCAACAGTCAAGCCCACAATTTGCAACATATACACAATCATCAGCATAAGCCAGGTCCATATCGATTAGGGCAAGTCAATAATATCATATAACAGTTCAGGGTTCATCATATAGCACAAAAGTCCATACACCCCTAATCATGCAATTCTAGTTCACCTAGGTCAATTCTAAGCATCAATATAATTATCGTGATACGACAAACCCGGTATGCCGTGCTAATCCCTCACCAGTTCTGGTCGTTCAAACACCGGTTCTAGCCTCCCGTACTAAAACGTCAATTTCACCAACGAATCCCGAATTAAAATCCGAGACCGTCCTTATATCCCCTGCAGTATCCCCGTCAATATTAGTTCTAGGCTACGGATCAAATTCTCGATAAAAACACATCAAACCCTGGCCGGAGCTAAATTCAGCGATTCCGGCTCCGACCTAAATAATAGCCGAAATTCAGGGATTAGAACTAGAGGATTGATTACCTCGCTGTAGGAAGCTCGTATATGAAATTTGGGTTCAATCCGGCTTCCGGATACTCCGAAACTCTAATTTGGCTTATCGGGAATTCAAGAAATTCCTGAACCAAAAACTCGTTTTAAAGCTCTAAATCGATAAATCACGATGAATAGATGAATTAGGCGTTACTTACGAGATTTTTGGATCGCTAAAGTTTAAGATTTTGAGCTCTGAAATTTTCCACTTCGCCTCCCCTGAGCGCCCTTTGCTCGTTCTGTTTCTCGGTACAGAATGGAAAAAGGAAGAAGATGGAAATGTATCGACCGAATTAAATGGACATGTATATATATATATAATTAATACGTATACTTATCCGATCGATCGATAATCCGATTTTCGTCGAAATACTATTAAAACACTCGATTTTAAATCGTGAAATTTTCTAGCGATCGAAATATGGGTTTTGCCGTAACGGGATGTTACAACAGTGATCTGAAAAAGTGCCTGGGATAGCCTCAGTGACACGATGTGGAAACTCAGAAAGCCAAGAAACATTCACCAAAGCCCTATCTAACCGTTTAGCTATAGGGTTATGCTGCTGATTGTTGACCCAGGTAAACAAAGGTCCCAAGGTGTTCACATTCTCCAATTCCATGTTGTTCCTCCAATCCTCAAAATCTGTCATACTAGAAGATACCTGCACCTGATTTGAGGCTTCACCTGGCTTCATGATTGCATTAAAATCTCCTCCAACTAACCAAGGGGCTCCAATTACTTTAATTTGCCCTATGGCATAGTATGTTTCCCTACGCTCCACTTCATCATTTGCTCCATAAACAGCAGTTAAAAAGAACGTGTCACCCCCTGCTCCTGAACCATGGTATGTACAAAATTTTGGTCTGGTTTCAGTATAGTCACCTTAATTTCCGGTTTCCAGAACAACCATACTCGACCCAAATCCGAATCACAATAACTCAGATATCTTTCCCATCCAACTAAAAAACCTTCTGCAATATCCTCAGAGTTAGCTTGCCTCACTCGGGTTTCCAGAACAGCTACAAAACTAATATTTAGACGCCTCAGGACTTGAGAAAAGTCTTGTCTCTTCGAGGATTTATTAAATCCTCGAACGTTCCAGAATAAGCAATTCATGGTGAAGCCTGGGGCTGAAGCCCCATCTTCTTACTACCTCTTTTGGGAGCATCCTGCAATCGAACTGCCTCCTCACCATGATCCGCAAGGATACTAAAAGAAGAGGGGGAAACATGTAGCACACTAGTAGGACTAGGGGCAGGAGACCAGAGACGTGGCTTAGCACCATGAACAACTCTTTGAAATTCCGCTTCAGTGGGCAACTTTGGAGACGATCCTGCTGCTGGTAGGGGTGATGAGACTTCCGAGAAGGAGACATCCAGATTGATACCACCAATGGTAATTCTAGAAGGAGAACAAGCCATTGATGGAGAACCAGCTACCAATCCCGTGTTCTGACTCAAGTCTGCATCCTCTACCTCTACCTGTGGGATAGATGGAAGCAAGGGAACCTCAGCAGCCACCTGTTCACTACCAGTTTACTCACTCTTCCCTGGTTTAGGCACCCACACCTGCTGCCCCGGCACAAGACCACAACAACCCGTTCCGAACGACTTACAAACTGGACAAACTGGAGGAAGATGGCAGTATTCAACCCGAACCTGGATCGGTACATCATCATCCGGCCAGATTGTCATTGTATCTGGGAACGAACCTTCTGCTTTCAGCTCAACTAAGACCTTAGCAAACCCCATCCTGCGCCCCAACCTCGTAGTATGATCCACTCCCAAGGGAATTCCCACCCAGCTGCCAATACGACTCAACCCTTGGTAGCTCACATACTCGAGAGGAACATTCGATAACTTCAGCCAGATCGGAAGAGCCTTCCTGCCCAAATCTTCAGCACTAATTCCCGGAGTCCAGGGGCGAAGATACAGCAAGTTGTCGTTGTGAAACCATGGTCCACTCTCCAAAATCCAGTCACAGGTTGCTTGCGACGGCAATTGGATGAGAATCAGCTTGTCACAGAGAAGCGAGACCCTTACCTGACCATCCCTTCCCCAAATCTTATTAGCCCAACGCCTCAATACTACCAGAGGAGGGATATCTTGCAAAAATTGGCCCACCAGGCAGTGTTTCCACCTCGCAGCACCTTCCTCTCGAACCGTCTTTGGCATCCGCAATCCACCATTCACGACCTCAGGTTTGATGTAACAGAGACGATTCGCCACAGAAATTCCAAATAAGCTCACCCATGGCATCGTCGGAATCAGCTCAGGAACCGAAGTCGATGATGAAGCCATGGCGACCTAGGAAGAACAAAAAAACACAGAGAAAGAGAAGAGGGGGAACAGAATTGCACCGACTCAGACGCCGGCGCGGCGACCAGGTCGCACTGCACAAACCCTAATCGCCCAAACACTCGCCTTTCTCACTCTACTTTCTCACTCTACTTTCTCACTCTTCTTCCCTTTGTTCCACCCTTCATTCATTTTTTTTTTTAGGAATAATATGAGAAATTTATTTTTATTGAAAAGTCATGTCAAACTTTATATATTAGATATAAAAATCAACCATGTATAAAAGTTAATTGCAGCATATAAGGAAAGGAATATGTGGGTAAATCCAAGGATTAAAATACCATACAGTACCGGTTCGACCTGAAAAACTTTTTACCGGAAACAAAATCGGTAGGTGGTATTTAGCGGTATAATACGGTTGAACAATGATTAAACCACGATTTTAGCATAAAATACCATACCACTGACTTTTCCGCTACGAACTCCAGTACGGTATCTCAATCCTTGGTAAATTTACAAAACAAAATCTCAACCATCTAACCAAAAAGTTGAGATTGTAAATTATTTATTTTGAATATTTCAAGTGTCACATCAACAATCAATAATATATTCTGTATCATTCCTAACGAGAGAAAAACTATACATTCTTATACAATACATACATTCATAAAACTAAGAAAAAATCTAAGCAAATTAATTAATTGTAACTCAACACTCCATTTCTGGGCCGCTGTTACTCATCGTCCAAGCCAAACACAAAGGACGACTTCAAGCCCAGATAAAAACCCCTCCGGGAGCCCATATCTACGACCCTACCCGATTTCTTACACTACTTTTCCCGCCATGGCACCGCAATTCCCGGCAAGAAAAAAGGTGAAGTCCTGCGGCGGCGAAAGCAAGAGATCGGACAGGAAGGTCGGGAGGGGCGGCGGGAACTGGCACGGCGAGGACGCCGGGACCAACTTCAGGCTCTTCCGCCGCGAGCGGTCGACGATGAAGAAGGACGAGAGCTGGATCGGGACGCGGAAGAGGTTCAGATACAGAAACCCTAATCCCCAATTCGCCATCGAGCACATGAAGAAGTGGATCCTTTACGAATTCAGCATGACGAGAGAGGGCTGCAGCGACGAGGAGAAGGAATTCGTGTGTATGATCCGCAACAACGGCTCCCCTATGATGATTTGGTACGTTTAGGTTCTCCCCTGAGATGTTGTTTGCCAGGGACTAGGGAGTACTGTAACATCCTTAATTATCCGCCATTGCTCTAAGTCTGCTTCATTTGATCATGATTGTGAGGTGCCGATTGCGATGAAGCAAGTCTGCCCAAGCTTGTGGTTGTTTATGACTATGAGAACCCTTCCTATATCAAATCAGATAATAAGCTTTCTGATTCCATTTTCCTGTAAGAAAATTCATTCAATGCAACCAATAAGATTTCAGTAAATGCTTCACAACCACCTTTCTTCACTCTCAAAATTATTCCTTCCTTCATGAGTGACCCCAATGAGTGACATTTCAACAACACTCCAGAGCTTTACTGGACCACCAATCAATCACAGTCTAAACTAGAACACCAGGCCAGGTCTATAGTTTGTTCTTTTTCCTATCAATGGCAAAACCTCAAAACCTCTTACTTTTCTGGGAATCCCTCCATTTTCAGGCTGCACCCACTATCAACAATGCTTTTCAAGAAGAAACCCAATTCCCCACGCAAACGAACTCTCTATAATTGCTCCCACCAACCTCTCATCTTCACCACACAAACAAGTTACTTACTTCCCCAGAAGTTCCCCCCATAGATTAAATCCCTCCCAAAACCTTAGAGCTTCACTTCCCTCAGGTCATAGTTTCCACCCCAACAAAAAATGGCTTCTGGGTTTTCTTCAGCAACCAATTTAGCCGCTGCAATGGCCCTATCCTTCTTCATCTTGTTCGTCAGTGCTCGCACATCCTCCCCTGATCCACCCCAGTCCCCTGCTCCATCGCCGCTCCCTGCCCGTGTTGATTCAACCACAGTATTACTGCTAACATGTGCAGGCTTAATCGTGTTCATGGTTGTCGCCATGGCTTGTATGAGTATTTGTAAACCGAGAAGAAGTACCGGTGGTGGTCACGACGGAACCGTTCTGAAGGTTCAGGTACTGCTGTTGGTTTGTTCTCGTGCAAGAACTTGCATTTTACATTCTGATTTCTGGCCTATACGTTTCAGGTTGTGTTGTCTGCTAGAGCTGGTGACATTGGCCGTGTGCTTCGCGACATATTTGCAAACACCAACAGACCAGAGCCCATAACAGAGTCGAAGAAGACCGTATTGAAAGGTTTCTTGGTCGATTTCTGTTTAAATTCTCTGTTTCCCCCAATTAATCAACTAATGATTAGTACTTCTCTTTGCAGAGACCATAAATGCACTGTTGGAGCACCGAAACAGCTTCATCTATGGCTCTACATCCGTGAAGGTAAAATCAGAAGCTGATGGGTTCCTTTTGTGTTTTTGTGTCTTACACAGTTGAGGTTTGAATCTAAATATGAACTGCTTGGCAGGGGAAACCTTCGGATGGTATATGCAGCTCGTTTGCTGTAGGGCCTCTGGAGGGAATGGTGAGGAAAGAAATGAGAAAGCTGAGAATCGAACGAGAGTGTCTCTACAATTACCGGTTGGTTCCTAAATTACCTCCCAAACAGGACAAAGATTACACTGTGGTGAGCTTTTCTTTCTTTCTCCTTTGCTAAAAAGGTTTCTCCTTTTTCCTAAACTGGTTGTTACGCCATCCATAGGTGATGATTATGGTGCTTGCTGCGGGTGAGCATAAGCTCCCTGCGGTCAGTAGTAGTATGGATGTGAAAGAAGCTCTCAACTATCTGGAAAACAAGTTTCTCATAATACAGGTAATTAGTCTCAAGTCTCAACTATGATCTTGTGTTTGAGTGTGCGATTATGTTCATTCTGGGCACTAAATTATATTTTGCTGTTCTTCTGGTTTTTGTTTTGGTTTTACAGGACGTGGAGGTAATGTGGGCTTACCAGGATCATTTGCGAATTGTGGAATTGCTCGATAGCTATCCGAACCTGTATTCCATCATGGCTTGAATCGTGATGATGCAAAATAATTACTACTACTATTCCCTGAGAGTCTTTGTACTTAGCTGGTGTGTGGTATTTGAGGGTTTATGTCAGATGGCTCAATCTGCTAAATGAAGCCTGGAGAGATTGGATTAATGTAGACCTATTAATCGATGGCTAAGATTGAATGTGGCACCTGGCCTTAATCTTTTTTTTATTAGAAGATCACTCTATATTAACTAAAGAAAGTCATTTTGTAGTTGGATTGAAGTTGAATCTATGGATGGGGAAGGTTGAAGAAGACATGCCAAACATTTAACTTAAGTAGCGTGGGCCCCGGTCATTTGGCCGGAAGTTGGTGAGATATGAAATTTGATAATGTAATGGGGTGTATAACTTATTGTTGTATTTTTTTTTTGATACACGTGATAAAAATAGTGAATTTTAGAAGGAAAGAGACATGAATGATGCAACGAATCAAAAATCAGCCTTATGAACCAAAATCAAGTACTTGTTACCTTGTGAAACAATATTGTTTCTGGTAATATGATAAGGTGGAGTAAGTTTTATATAATCGAATTCCAAAAAAAATCGAATAAAAAATCGCTTATCCCGCCGGTTTTCGGGAAATGAGCATCTCACAATCGTTGCTAGCTTTTACTCAGCCCGTTGGCCGATTAATTTGCTTTATAAAACTTTCATCTTGTCATCATTGTGCTTTCTGGTTTTTTACCAAGCCATGATAAAATCGAAAGAAATCAAGAATGAACAACACGATTTTGGATAGGAACCACCGTTCCTTATCCCTAGAAAATGGTGGTAAACACGAACTCACCTGCCAAACTGGTTTGGATTGAGATTTTTATTGGGTATCAGGGAACCATGTGATTATAAGTTAGACTTGATCAAAACGGGCCAAAACTTGAAATTCAGTCTGTTTGACCGACCCATGCCAAACTCTAGTTATTCTTTACTTTTAAACTTTCTATTTGAAAATAAAAAATAATGAAAGAAAAGAGATGACTGCAATTCGCCATTTGCACATCACTGATTCGGGAATAAAACTATAGAATTTCGAAAGGAAACTGAAAATGTTTAGGATCATTTTAATATTAAAAATAACCAAATAGATATTTATGTTTAGTTTTTTACTAACAAATACCAAACGATTCCCTATAATATACACTATAATTTAATCATTATGATATCAAATAATTACATAATATATTTGAAATGATAAAAATTGGACTAATTGGGTTGGTCGAGGTTGAACCATTGAATAACTTTAAAATACATTATATTTTAGTCACTAAGATATAAAATAATAGCATAATATATATTATGCTAGATAAAATAGCTTGTTTTAGAATGGCAAACCCATAATGTTCGTTTGTTTTACTTGATGGACAAATCCCGTGTAGGTCAGGCCCATTCAACTCTTTTATTTTATTATTAGCGGTTAGCCCATTAGAATCCATGCATTAGTTTATTGTTAATGTTTAGTATAATGAAGGCAATGGGGTTTCCAGAGAGATTTATTACATTGATCTTTGCTTGTGTTACTACACATACTATTAGAGTTGCAATTAATGGAGGGTTGTGTGGTAATATAAAGGCTGGTAAAGGATTAAGGCAGGGGGATCCATTATCCCCCTACCTGTTTACAATAGCAATGGAAGCATTGGATTGTTTGGCTAAGAAAGCTATGGTGGATAATCAGATTCCTTACCATCCTCGTTAAACCTCTTATGATTTCCCATTTATGTTTTGCGGATGATTTGATGATGTTTACTAATGGGTCAATAAGAGGGGTTGCAGGCATTAGAAGGTTAATGGATAGTTTTTATAAGCTGTCTGGTTTAAGATGCAATCCAGCAAAGTGTCAACTTTCTGTGCTGGTATTCCACAGGAAGAAATGCTTGCTATATATGGTTTTACTGAATTCCCTCTGGGAACACTTCCTGTGAGGTACTTAGGAGTCCCACTTATAACAGGAAAACTCACTAGGCAAGATTGCAAAGTGTTGGTGGATAAGATAACACAAAAACTGAGAAGTTGGAGGTCCAAACTGCTAAGCTATGCTGGGAAAATACAACTTATCACCTCTGTCATCTCAAGTACCCTCCAATATTGGCTCAATATATTCCTACTGCCTCAGTTTGTTATCAAGGAGGTGGGTAGGTTGTGTAATGAGTTTCTATGGGATTCTGCTGAGGATGGTAGTCGAAAGAAAGCAGTTATGGCTTGGGACAAGTTGGCTATCCCAAAGAAAGAGGGTGGCCTTGGTATTAGAAACTTTGGAGTATGGAATAAGGCGTGTGTATTGAGGCATTTATGGGAGATCCTTACTCTGGGAGGGTCTATATGGGTTGCATGGATTTCAAGGTATAGGCTGAAGAGTAGAAGCATCTGAGATATCTCAATTGTTTCTGCTGGGACATGGATTTGGAAACGGGTGCTGAAATGTAGAGAGATAGCTCATCCTTTCATTTCTGGGATTGGAAGCACCACTCTATGGCAAGGGGAGCAAATGAAGCGGTTCTCAGTGTCCAGGGTGTGGAATGATATCAGAGAGAAAAAACCAGAAGTGTAGTGGTGGAGATTAGTCTGGGCAAAGGAAGTCATTCCTAAGCATGGATTGATTCTGTGGCTTGCTATCCATGGACGATTGGTAACTCAGGATAAACTCTTAGCCTGGGGAAAAACTGTATCTGGATGCTGTCTATTGTGTCCAGGTGGGGTTGAGAACAAAGATCATTTACTTGTTTATTGTTCTTACTCTTGTGCTGTTTTGAAGCTCTATTTGAAGAGTCTGTCTCCACCAGCAGTAGGTGGCTGGGATGCAACGGTTGCTTGGTGTGCAAGGGAATGGAAGAAGAAGACTACTAGAGCGAGTATCTGCAGAGTACTGTGGAGTGCTGCTGTGAGCCATATATGGCGCGAAAGATGTTCTCGACTGTATGGGACAAAAGGTATCAAAGACCCTGCTATGTTGGTGAAGTTGATACATGAGAAAGTTGCTTACCGAGTTTGTGCAGATCCTGCCCTCCAGTTAGAATTAGATAGCATTGAGTAAACTATAGATAGGAGATAGGAGTGGATTGTAAGTTTGTTCCTTGCATTGTAACTGTTTGAGAGGCGCTGCAGGTTTTCCTCTGCAAGTGGCCTGTACTTAATGCAATTTTTGATTTCACATCAATTTTTTTTAGCAATAAAAAGGAGTATTGTTTTTGCATTTTCATATATATTTTACCACAATGGAGAAATAAAATGACTTACAGAAAAAATTGACACTCCTGCACCCGTTTAAATCCACATGTGTACTGTAAGTTGGCCCGTTCCACAGAGGAAAAAGAAAAAAAATTTGACACTCCCTATTCTACCCTTCCTACAAACGCTCCTGAAGCATGGAATTTAAAATCGGGAAGGGTTTTTTTCCTCTCTGCGATTATATGTTTTTAATTTAAAAAGATACAACAAATGTACTTAGTGTGATTGGTTATGATCTTTGTTTTTCTTTAAAGTGGTCATGGTTCAAATCCTAGTAAGTGTCTTTTTAATGAATAGAAAAAAGTAATTGTGAAGACCAAAATGTCTTTCCTACTTTCACTCTAGATGCAGGAAATTTGAAATTGGGCTTCAAGTTTTCTCATTTGGCTTTTATTTATCGTGTAGATATATTTTACCATCACGGAGAAATAAAAGGAATTAAAGAAAAAAATTGACACTCCTGGACCCGTTTAAATCCACATGTGTACTGTAAGTTGGCCCGTTCCACAGAGGAAAATGAAAAAAATTGACACTCCATATTCTACCCATCCTACAAACGCTCCTGGAGCAGGGAATTTGAAATGGGGAAGGGTTTTTTCCTCTCTGCGATTATATGTTTTTAATTTACAAGGATACAACAAATGTACTTAGTGTGATTGGTTATGATCTTTGTTATCTTTAAAGTGGTCATGGTTCGAATTCTAGTGTCTTTTTAATGAATAAAAAAAAGAAATTGTGAAGACCAAAATGTCCTTCCTACTTTCACTTTGGATGCAGGAAATTTGAAATGGGATTTCAAGTTTTCTCATTTGCCTTTTATTTATTGTGTAGATAGATGTAGATTACTTTGCTGAGCCTGAGCTGTAGCACATATGTTGCGGTCATAAATGACAAACTGAAGACAAAATGAAGCGGTCCAATTTGGACTGTCCAACATGCTATTTAGGGCCCGGAGCCACCAGCCCAGCCTGGCGCATTATCCTCCCAACCTGTTAAAAGGCTTGGAATGGGCAGGCCAGAAAACCAAGAACCCAAAGCCCAACCTATTAAAGGCCTGACCCAATTCACCACCTCATAAAGCCGTGAGTCATAGACTAAAACTGGCTGGTTTCTGAAATGCAACCAATCCATAGAACAACGAAAACAATAAACTATAAATTGTTGGAAATGTGTATGAATAGCTTTGAAAGCTATAGAGTCTCAAGTGGAAAAACTACCACATTGGTAGTTTTACTTGGTGAAATGAGTATAAAGATAGGAGCCTCTCTCCTAAGGGCATGCCCCTTGGGGTGACCCACTTTTGTGGGAGAGGGAGGACCTAACGGACCACCACACACACGCGCGCGCCGTCCGTCCGACCGACCGGTCGGTCGGTCGGTTGGTTGGATCACTTGAGACTATAATATTCCAAGGGATAATCGATTGAATATTCCTAGGGGTTCGGCTCCTATAAATAGCCGCCTCCCCAGCCCCTCTAAACACACCACAACGAGAATAAACACAATAGAGAGAGTGTTCAGAGAGCTCCGGTTTTCGCACAAAACCGCGAGTACACAGAGGAGCTGTTTTATCCTGGAGACGACCGGTTGATAGTCTGCCGTGCGCATCGAGGGCAGTGCCGCGAACGTCTTAAAGAGAGCGACCTAGTCCGCGACTCAGCTCCAGATTCGGTATCCTCGATCTTGTTGTTGTTCCGTTTCTAACAATTTTAAGACGTTCGGCTGCTGCTATGTCGACTGAACAGAACAACATGCCCGGATCTGGTGCTGTCGATATCAATCGACCGTTTCGCTTCGTTGGAGTCAACTTTCGTCGCTGGAAACAAAAGATGGAGTTTTACCTGACGACCAAGAAGTTGGCACACTGCCTCACTAGCATGCCCGTCGAGCTGCCGGAAGAAGCGACCGATGAGGAGAGGACTGCTTCTGCTAAGGAAAGGGAGCATGACTTCCTATGCAAGGGCTACATCCTCAACGGCCTGGCAGACGACCTCTACGACTACTATGCGGACAGCAAGAACACCGCAATGATGGTCTGGGATGCGCTCCAAAAGAAGTACGACACGGAGGAGGCTGGAGCTAAGAAGTATGCTGTCAGCCGCTACCTGCGCTACCAGATGGTGGATGACAAGTCTGTCGAAGTTCAGTCCCACGAACTTCAGAAAATAGCTCACGAGATC